GGGGGGGGGTCTGGGACCATGGGCAGCAGGCAGCTGACCTGGGGGCAGGGATTCATGCATGGCCCCACCAACCATCCCCCAACAGTGTTTATGGAGTATTTGGCTTCCCTAGCTTTGACTTGTGGAGTAAATTAGGTCCATCCTTTGCCCTTGCTATGTACCAGGGATGCCACTATTTTCAAACTACAATGTAGGCAATACTTTTCTTCTAACTTGTCATTCAAAGCCATTGCAAAAGCCCCATCCAGATTCCAGTGTTGCATGGAAATGGACACGAGAATCAGAACCCATGTCACGAGTTTGACTTGGCAAGTAGAAAACGCAAGGGCTCATGCACATGTCTATAGAAAATATGGACTATTAGGCTATGTTTGGTTTGAAGGAAAAGGTAGGGAAAAGAAGGAAAAAACAGGGAAACCAATACAAGGTTTGTAAAGGTTTCCCTACCTTTCCCTACATTTTCCTTCAAACCAAACATAGCCTTAAAGGTCTAGAGCTTTAATAGTCCATATTTTTTCTGAATTCTAACATTATATACCACTGAAAAAGGTCTAGAGCTTTATCTATATTACTTATTAATGGTTAATAGAAAAAAAAATGGCATTCGTAGTTTATAAAGCTGTTCATTTGTGTCAAAAAAAAGTGGATAAAGGAAAATGCTACAATGAAGTGTCTATCAAGAATCCATGGAATGCCAGTATCTGATGTGTCATCCACTTTGGAGAGTCCATGTATTTTTTCTGAATTCTAACATTATATACCACTGAAAAAGGTCTAGAGCTTTATCTTTATTACTTATTAATGGTTAATAGAAAAAAATGGCATTCATAGTTTATAAAGCTGTTCATTTGTGTCAAAAAAATAAGTGGATAAAGGAAAATGTTACAATGAAGTGTCTATCAAGAATCCATGGAGTGCCAGTATCTGATGTGTCATCCACTTTGGAGAGTCCATGCAACACAGACCCATCCAAACCATTTCCCTCTCTATACAAAACAATATGAAGTTTAACTATCCTACAACTAAAATGCCTGTGTAGACAATGGAATTTTGTAGGATAATCACTGATTCTGCTATCAAACAATACTTAACTTGGCAATATTCACTCATGTTCAATGTGTATTATATGCATGTTAATTTAAGAACCATATTTGTGTTCACTATAGGGCAGTAAAAGGCTACTTTGTACTTCAAATAAAAAAGTTAGGACTTTACCCAGTATATAGCTGGGACCAACATTGGTAATGGCCTTTAACTTTGTGGGGTTTTTTATGTATATCCTTTCACATCCTTGATTTGTAGCTAACGATGTAAATTATTGCTTCAAGTAATTGCAGATAATAGAGAAGGTTTATCCATGTCTTGGATCTATTTAATATTCTGCTTAGAACAACTAACAATGAATCCCTTTGTTAATGCTACTATAAATCCCAACTGAAAGGTTGGCATGTCTGCATGAGGCATCATGGTTGTTTGTTACAACTCCTAAATTTAAATTGGTTGTTTCTTGTTAAGTACAACTTACTCCTCTGCTGGTTTTAAGAATGAGTGATTGCCCTTCTCCRACCCTTACTGCCCAACCTGAGAGCGGACAGCTAATGCGTTCCACTTATTGAACAGGGTTCTATGGTCGGTCCRTGACCCCTGGATGCCGAAGGCGTCCTTGGGGTGATCTCGTAGTTCTTATGGGGTGGAGACGATGGGGTCRGTCCATGGATTTTTCTTCCTTTTGCCGCATTTCGCTCAAAGGGTTGAAGGGAGATAGTGCATCAAGCTGTTCGAAAGTCCGCTCACATTCCACTCCTGATCCAGCTAGAGGGCACTACTGAAGATAGGAGGAATTCTCTGCTGCTCTAACTCTCCCGCGGACAAGAGATCAGATTCCCCTTCCAGAGGTATCAGTTACCAGTGACAGGAGCGATGTACCTTTCTTTACTTAACCTCAACATCTACAATTTTTTTTTTTAATTAGATAGACACATCATACATCCCAACCCTGGTGCAGGTCGGATTTAATCCAAAGTCCCTGCTACAACCAGTGGGAGACCTTACCAACTAGCCAGTTGGCACCTCAAGACCTATGAATTTTCTTGGTCATATCAAGAAAGGCAGATAATAAGACCGTTTTTATAAGCAATATGTAGGCAGAGGAACCAAAACAGCATCATTCATAGATGGTGACATAGCTATGGTAAGCAACAATAACTAGTATCTATAAGCACCTATATCAAAAGATGTAAAAGATACTCTTAATGAATAACAGAGCGCAAAAACATCTTTAAGCACCAGACCTCTCCCATCTTAAAATTCAGATAGTTTCTAGTTTAGTAGACCTTAAATAAGGTGTAAGATATTGCTCTAGTGCAGTGAAAACATTAACTAGCCCAGTAACCACACATTTGGATTGCTAGTTGCAGCGATTTAAAAGGCACTCCTCAGGCGTGCCTAGGCGCATAGGCAAAATGCATTTCAGGGTATGTGCCTCACCTAGGTCCTAGGCGCAACCCTTTCAAAAGGCGCATGCCTGGGCTCTAGTGCAGTGAAAACATTAACTAGCCAAGTAACCACACATTTGGGTTGGTAGTTGCAGTGATTTAAAAGGCATGCCTCAGGTATGCCTAGGCGCACAGGCAAAGTGCATTTCAGGGTATGTGCCTCACCTAGGTCCTAGGCGCAACCCTTTCAAAAGGCGCACGCCTGATGCGCCTTGCACCTCAGCCCAGGTGTGCGCCTTTTGAAAATTTGACGCTTTTTTGGTTTTTTTGAACATAGCGGCTGGGCCAGGGCTCCGAGAACCCCCAATTTGGTAATGTTGTTCATTCATTCATCCTAATAAAATTTCTTAAAAAGCAATTAAAACTATAAAATCATTATTTTTTGTGTGAAAACTAAGAATTTAAGACCTAACGTGGACTTGTTTGGGCTTGCCTCGAGGGGCGTGGCACAAAGGCGGCTCGTAGAATCAAGAATGTAATATATTTTACATTACATTAGCTACTTGAAGTAATGCAACTGAGTGAAAAAAGAAATTAGAGGTTTTACATGCTTGAAAATGTTTTATATGTTTGATTTTATTTTTAAATTCTCATTTGAATATGCTTTACATCTTATGTTTATGTATTTTAATTTTAGATAATAGGTTTTTTAAAACATTATTTTAAAATTTAAGTTTATATTTTTTATTAATATTATGTTTAATATTTTTTTTTGAATTTTTTGGCATTTTTTTTAATTTTCTGACTTTTTTTATTTTTTAGCAATTTTTTGTATTTTTGCGCCTTGCTTCAAAAAAGTGCCCGCCTCGCCTTGTGCCTTGTGCTTTTAAAACACTGGCTAGTTTACTATAATGGCAATTATAAACCATGGGGGTGTCAAAAAGCTCCTTATGTTCTTCTCTCCCCCCTCACACATATAGTTTATAAAAATCTATGAATGACCTTTAATAATGAGACACTTGTACACCATGGAGACAAATCCCTATAGGAAAGATACAAATGGTTCTCTTAAAGACTTCCTAGGTTCACAAGATCTGAGCAAACAAGAATGATCACTCCATCCATGTCTCTGGAGTGTGGACATTCCCAACACTTGATGGACCTAACTTGCTCAAAGTCGTTAGGAAGGGCCAGCTCCTATTATCTCAAGTTTGTAGGGGTAAATCTAGAAATGGAGTGTGGCATTCCTTTCATCCCTCACTCACCATAATACTGCATGAAGCAGGGCTCTCCATACAGCTTTTCCTCATGATAACTGCTTACAGAACAATCAACAATGATCCATAACTATAGCAGTTAAAGGAGATATATACCCTAAGTTGTGGGATTGTGCATTATAATTCATAAAAGTGATTGATTGCATACTTGTGTATGAGACAAAATTACAGTGGACAACTGAGTAGTTCCTTGTGTAGAGAACAAAAATATGGATGGAGATGAGCAGTGGTTTGGACACTTTTTATAGAAGTAGATCGTAAGTATTGATCTTCTTCTAAGCCACCTTCCAATAGAATGCCCTTATCTTGGGAGAGGCAATATCCTTCCAAAGAACTGTAGGAGGAAATTAGTTGAAGTTTGAGCTAATCAAGACACAAACACCAAAGAAGGAAGAGGAAAGCTTTCTACTTGGTTTCCATATCCATTCATCCAGCTACGATAACTTAATTTATATAGCCACTACTAGGGCTGGGGTCACCCTTCATGGCTTCCACTTTAGAAGTAAAACTTACAAGAAACAACTCCTAATTGCACTAAGACTAACTGACCAAGGAACCCAAATGTAGCACATGTGAACATCCAGACACAGACTTAAACTCCCAAAGTAATTCTAATAGCGGGATTCTAATAACTGCCAACTGAGGGGTAGCCCAGTTGGTACGCTGGATGAATTGTCCCAGCGGTGGTGCGGTTTCAAATTCCGCTATTATCATCTCTGTAAGAAAAGAGCTGTTGATGTGATTGCCATTATCTTATGGGGGTGTCAAGCAGTGATTAATACTAAAAAAAAACGTAATTCTAATAACCAGCTATTAATACTACAGCAACTTTTTTTTTGAGAGAAGGCAACTGGCAAAGTATAATTATATTATTTGTAAGAAAAAATGTACAGTGTAAGGCACCCCCCTTTACAGTGAGAGGCTGTACAGTACAATGCAATCACAAAAGTATACAAGTGTGCTAGTTACAAAAAAGAGCGTAAAATAAAGGTCGAAACCACATCAAAGAATGACACATTGACACGGTATCAAAAAATATAAAATTGCCACTAGCACAGGAACCTGGAGTTATCTCTTCTTTAATGGCTTCTTTGCCTTGCTTCTACATATATCAAAAGCCTTTCTGAATCTAAATTCAAAAACCCTAGAGATCTCTAAACTTATAAAGGATGAGACGGGAAATGTAGTGTATTTTAACAGACCAAATAATGCTTTTATTTGTGGTAGTAGTGTTCTATATTCTATATTCCATGTCATGTTGCATATTTGTGATTGCCATTATCCTTAAAATTCTATTTGCATAGCCACCAATTTGACTAGAAAGGCTAAATTCACAACCTCATTGCCTTGACTACACTGGTGGTTGGTTGCTTTGCAAATAAAAGGCAAATCAATACAAAAAACATTGCAAGATAGGAATCAAACCCAAGCCACTGAAAACCGATAAGAAAAACACTAAGCCTTTGAAAATTTAAAACTGATCCTACCAAGCTACCACATATGTGATCAATAGATTTACTTACAAAGAGCATTTCCTGAATTAATGCACAAGTTTTAGTTGACCAAACCTAGTTGTATGACCAGCGGACCATCTTTAAAAGTTAGAAAGCTTATAACTCAGCCTTTAATCTCAATCATGTCCAAAGGAGTTAATAAGAATAAGTAACTATCTTTGATCCAAGTTCATTGCAAGCCATTTTATAGCCTATGCAAAACCAAGGCAATTCTTCACCACCACAACCAAAAACCTTGGTGCATTTTGATGGCATCTGGCCTCCCACCAAGTCAGTACTTCTCTCCCGAGAATTGAATAGCTTACTCTGACCGTTTTTATTCTCATACCTTGACCACCATATTTTAACCATGCCCTCCAACAGTGTTCTTTTTATACCATATATTCAATCTCATATGTCTAACATATTTTAGTATGTCTTTACTCTTTACTCTTTAAAATGTCTTTCACAACACTAATGAAAAATATGGGAATGGAAATTAGTTTACTAGAGTTCTCAAGTGATATGGTCCTACCACAAAACAAAAGCAAACGCAGAATGCAAACCAGAACAACCAAGTGATCAAAGACAATTTTATTTCTAAGAACATAGAAGCTTAAAAAAAGAAAGACATTAAAAAGAAAGAAAATCGATTGTTTGATATTGTTCATAGAAAGTTAGAAACAACCTACGTGCTTCCCTATCAGAGAAAATATCCAAACTTTACAAGTCAAGCATTTATATCCAAGAGGTTTTATAAGATAGTAGAAACAATAATATTAAGTAGAAAAGAACAGAAACCTAGTATTTCCGACCAGATATCGCTTTCCTTCTTTAAAGATCGTGACTTTCTGTTTATTTACCTATAAAAAATCAGTAATCTTATCCACATTTACGTTAGGGGGAAAAGGAACAAAAAGAACCTACAGTGTAACATCACTCTCCTGCCTTTGGATCATTGACGGCCTCGCGTATCACCCATCTTTTCCATTTTTCCCTATCAATCTCAATCCCAATTTCTTCTTATCAAACAAAATTAGAAACTTAAAAAACCTAGCTAGCATACACGTCATAAATCAAACAGACGCGACATTAACCAATAACCAAGAAACAGAAATAGCCAAATAATAGAATGAACTCTAAAGTATAAGTTCTCTAACACATAAGCAGTAGGCAGACGGAAAAGATAATAATAAACAAGAATTCCACTCTTTTTTTTGGTCTCTCTCGTTGTTGTTCTTTTTCTGGTCCTAGAAACAGTAAGACTCACAAAGAGACTACTAGCGATCCTGACAAGTACGACAGAAGGTACCCTGAGACAGCTCACAACATGCACGCGCGTCGACAGCGAGGTGTGACGTCAGGCGAGCGGCAGCCACTACGCTATGCAGGGGAAGGAGCGATTGTGTGCACCCTAGCTCCCCCATCATCCTGTCAAATTCATAGAAATAAGCAAACAAAGAAGGAGAAGAATAGTTTGATTCAGAAAAACCTATGTCTTGATAATTTGACCTACCTTGGATTAGCGAAAGCAAAACGGCGGGGTTGCAGGCGAGGAGCAGCAAGTGGTGGCGCGCTAAAGCGGGGAACCGTCCGTGGAGGCCGAAACGAAGGAGCTCTTGCGGCGGAGATCAAAGACCTCGAAAATGATCCGCTGCGCCAAGCCATCTCCGTCTCTCGCTCTACTACTCTGGTGAGACAACTAGGATAAGAGCTACTACAACAGAGTCCCAAGGGTTTTGCCCTTTTGGGAATAGAAGCCAGGGTTTAAAAGGGAAAACTACTGATCAATGCTTAGTTCAAACAATATTTTCTCTTGGCTACCTCATTGTTTAAAAACTTACCCAGGAATAATCTATAAGATTATTTTTAACCCTTGATTTAAGTTTTTAATTTTCATTCTCTCTTATTAAATTTCATATTTAAGTTAATTTTCATTAATAAATACTATTAATTAAATATATGTCCAATACTTTTAAAAATGTAAACTCATATATTTTAAAAATTATTCAAAAACAAAATTATTTTTTATCCAAATGATAACTTAACAATTCAAATTGACCAAAAACACTATTGTACTTTGTTTTGGGAAGAAAACCCCCCTTGACCGTTAAAAATGCGTTAAATTACCAAAATACCCCATTAAATTTTTTCTATTTTTTTTTTATCCTTTTCTCTAAAAACTATTTAATCTATTATTTCCCTTTCTTCTCTTCTTTTCCCCTCCCTCACCGTCCTCTCTCATTCTTTCTCTCTCCCAACTAAGCAAAATGAAAGGACGGAGGAAACCCATCTCTCTCCCAGATTATGATATCATCTTTTTCCATTGACATCTCAAAGTCAAAGTAAAAGAAGTGGTCAATTTGTATAATTTATATGAAAGGTGGAAGAAGTTTTTGGAAAAGTCAAATTTCAGAGGAAGTTAAAAGAGGGAAAATCTGTGGAGATACCGATCGAGGAAGTAACCGGCTATTCTGGGTTTCCTCTTATGGCTGTAATTTAGCGGACAGCAAGGAAACCTCATATTCATTCTCTTTCATTCGTCCACGCTTCGCGGGATTTTTTTTTTTTTTTCTCTCCAACCAATGGTTCCATTTATCTTTTTCGATTTTCTTTCTCATTTAGCTTATTTATCCTTCCTTTTGATTTCTTTTTTATTTTTCTTTTGATAACCCCATTTGTTTAATGGATCTCATTCGTCGTTAAAACTCCTACCTTTTTGTCTTTTAATCCTTTTCGAAGTGTTGATATTAGTCACAGTAGATAGGCTGATGATCATCGCCCACTATCCAACGGTATCACAACTTGATTCTTTAAACTATCATAGACAWTATTATTGCCATTATTAGAAATCGATGTCTCACCAAGCAAGTACTCTGTTTCTTCAAGATTTTGTTCTACCCATGGGTGTTTGTTCGACCTCCTTAACCCCACTGACTCCATAGTTACTTCTTTCATCGTTGGTCTTTCCTCTCCCTTCACACTTAGGCATCTCTTAGCAAGCTGAGCGACTTATTGGAGTTGATCCTTGTTGCATTCATTTAGAACTCTGCCCTCCAAAATTACTGAAACATTGTCTTTTTTCATTGAAGTTACAAAATGGGTAGCCAAGTTTCTCTCCTTTTCAGGTCTTTCAAATTCAAGTGCTTTGTCGAGAAACGTTGACCACTCAATTGGTTACTGGGTCGGTCTTCATAAGAAAAAGAGTTTTTTTTCCTATCGTTTTCATTTTGGAATTGGATCTTACGCCATTGAGCTTTGAATAGCAGCTCTACTCTCTCCGAACTAGTGGGATGATGTGTTGTATATAAATTCATGTGGATGTGAGATTTGCAATTTTAAATATCACTGAACAAATGCATCTGTAGGACTCATTAGGATCAAAATCGTGAACATATCGTGGTTGTAGATGCATGACAGAACTAACTAGCTCAGAATTTCTCTGAGTGCGCTGAACATGAAACTCTGGTATGCTCCACACTTGGAGCTGCCCAACGGGATGGTGCTGAAGGGGGCGACGTTGGTAGCAATTCGACCAAGTGAGCAGATTGCCGCCAAGAAAGAGATCTCCGATAGTTCTTGGGTTTCAACAGCATTTGAGGAAGAGGAGCCGTATGGAACGGTAGCGAAGCTGCTGGTGAAAAGATGGACCTATTGTCTTGAGATGAATTCCTTCTGAGTGCAGCTAAAATTGAGGTAATTTTACCAAATTCTCTTCTACCCCTGGTCATCGGGTGCAGGATAAAGTGGTAGCGGTGAACTGTGTAGTGAAACCCAGACACTTGACAACTGCTCCTCTTGTGGTCGAGCTGCAATGAGTATCCTCGACAAGATTCAACAATATCAAAGGATACACTTCCTCGGGAAGAAGAAAGGGGAAGGGGAAGAAGAGAGATCGGGGGAGAGAGAGAGAGAGGGAGGATTTCGGAAGTCTGCCCTGCGGCAACTGGTACGTGAGGTGAGGGAAGATGAACAGTGTTTTTCTAATAGTTATTATAAGGATAGTATGGGGATTAAAAAATATTAACGGTGGATTTCAACGGAAGGTTAACGAAAGGGGGGTCTTTGTCGCAAAACAAAGTACAGGGGGTCTTTGTCACAGACCCCATAGTGCAAGGGGGTCTTTGTAATTTACCCTAAAATTTTTAAATAGAAATAAATATAAAAAATTACATAAATTTAGAAAAAATAGACACATTTATGATATTTTTATTGATGATGAAAATGAAATACATATTCTAAAACTAACAAAAAATGAAATTATTTTCCTATTTGGTAGATATCAATAGTTCACCTTTGGGTCAAATCTGTCAACCTTGAATGTCATAATTAAATAATAATAATTACTGTGGATCTTTCTTTTGACTAAAATACATTTTTTTAATTTAATTCCTATTTAATTGTGAGGTTTAAAATGTAATTTGAACTATAATTTTCACCTCATTCAATTCTCCGTCTTTAAATCTTACATTTTTTTAATAAATAAACAAAAAAAGTATACATTAAGAAGATAAAAACATTACAAAAAGAAGAATCCAACCAAATAGATAGGCCTGCCAATGATATCCAAAATTTTGTAGCCTAATATGAGGTGCTTAAGTAATCAAATCTAGACTCTACAATATGCATCTGATTAATAGTGAAAAAACAAAAAATAAAAAAAATACATGAATTTTATAGAACATTTTGGATACACTATTCCTATCATTATCATCATATAGAATTATCAAGTGCAAAGCACATGCATGCTTACTAGTGCACCAACAAGCAACTAGATTTTTGCTTCTAACAATTATTGAACTTTGTAAAAAAAAAAACCACTTTAGATCTTAAATAAAAGTCTTTTTTGTTATTTGAGTTATGACGGAAAGACCGTTTTAAGGCAAAAATATGATCATGTGGCATTGTTCAAGTTCAAAAAACACCACTTTAGACCCTAAAGTTTGAAAAGGTCACCTTAGATGTTAAAAATATCTATCAGTTAAAAAAATAAAGTTTGTTAACCTTAAAGTAAATAGAGTTTGTTAACCTTATAGTCATTAAAATAACAATAATTAATTTACAATAAATAATTAACAACAATTAATAGTAAATTATTACCAGAACACTAACTTAATTAACTTAACTAATAGTAAATTAACAAGAACTTAATTTATTTAATTAACTTAGTTAACTTAGTAATTCAATTTGTTTAACTAAACTAATTTCTTTAATTATTTTAGTTACTTAGTAACTTAATTTACTTATTTTTCTCAATTAGCTTTGATTATTTAATATTTCTATTTACTTAAGTTAAGTGGGCTTGGTGGTCAAACCAAAAAGCTCACATTGGGGAAGATGGATTTCAAATTCTTGAATTTTCTGTATGTTTATTATGGTTCATCTGGAAGGCCAGAAATAATCTGGTCTTTAATGATATCAGAATTACACCCTCATTGTCTATTGTTCTTGCAAACAGAATGATGGAGGCAGTGAAGATAGTTTCCCAACAAACATCAACAGACTGTTCTTAGACTGATACAATGTAAGCCCCTTGTTTTTTGAACCAGTAGCCTGCTTCATGCTGTAAAGCTATTTTAGATGGGGAGCTTTTCTGTTTTCCAGTATTAGTGGTTATGGTTTTGTGTTAGGGAATGTTGTTTGGCTGCTAAAAGACTGGGGTTTGTGAATATCTGAGTGGAATCAGATTCAAAAAGTGTTATTAAGACCCTCTCTTCAAGATCGTTTGTTTGCTCCCCTTTGATTTTGTCCATTGTGTAGGATATTTACCCTTTAGCAGGCCCAGGTTCAAAATTTCTTCATGTGAATCGAGAAAAGGTCCAAGCAATTCATGAGTATGCTTCAAGAGGTAAAGCAAACTTTCGAGCAGTTTGGAGATCACCTCCCAGGTGGTTAGAATGATTGTTAGAGGTTGGAGAGGTTGTTTGTTTGTTAGTTTTTTTTCTCTCTCCTGTTTTCTTTTCTCTATGTTTCTTTTGTTGTTCTTACATTTTCCCACCGAAAAAGAATCACTTAATTGATTAATTTACTCATTTAGTCTAATTAGGTTGATTGTTTTAATTGCTCAATTTACTTAATCAATTAGTTAATTCACTTAATTGCATGGTTTTAAAATTGTTGTTGATGCTGACGGCTGAACCAGTTAACTGTTTGATTCCATTTTATACTTGGCTTGAAATTTTCCTGGAATGGTCAACAAACCATTGCTTTGGATGGTTGAAGCACTAATTATTTGATCTAATGGATGATTTCTGGGTCATTTTTTATATTCAAAATGTCACTGGCTGATCCATTTCGACCAAACAATCAAACCATTGACTTGAACATTAGTGGTCAAAGCGCTTCTATTTTTGGGTCACTTTTTAAAATATTGTTTAATTGGCTTAATTTACTTATTTAGATTAATTAACTTTATTTGTTTTACTCAATTAATTTAGTTTATTGGATTAATTTAATTTATTATCAAATTGCTTAATTTATATAATATGTTTATTTTACTTGATTATATTAATTGGTGTAATTTATTTAATTTAATTAATTAAATTTATACCATCATATACCCTAAAATAATTTACTTAATCAATTTTATTAAAATGGCCTTTTCCATTTTCAAATATGAGCAGTATCACATAAACATACTTTTATTATTTTATTCATTAATGCCATTTATTTTTACTTTAAAGTGGTCTTTTCAATCATAGTTTGAGGTGGAAAAGTGTTGGGCCCATTTTATCCTTTCGTTTTTGTTTTTCACCAAACATTGATTATAAGATGTTGAGCCAAAAGTTGAGTTGTGATGTGGGCCATGCTGGCGTTTTGC